TTCTTCAACCTGAGAGTTCAGGGTTTTTTTTCTTTTGATTTCAAAAGATGTTAAAACACTGCCTTGGGCTGCTAAAAGTACCAACGGCTCTAGGCATTGTGCATTGCATCCCCCGTGCCTAACAAATAAGTCAGCCCTGGTTAGAAATACAGAATCTTAGGTTCCCCCCAAAGTTACCAAAATCGAAATCTACATGTTAACAAAACCCACAATGGACTCAAATACACACTGGAAGTTTGAGGAGCACTGGGTGTAATGTTCACTTTAGCTTTACAAACAAAAAAAAGTAATTCTCACTTTTCTGTGCTTTCTGAACGCTACCATGTTCTCTGTGCTGCACTATCAGCTGTCTACCTCCAGAATCCCCATTGGCCTTGGGGCTGCACTAAAATTACACAGAGCTCTATAGAGCTCTATAGCGGTGAATACAGAGGATATGAGGGGAATTATAGCGAGGTTCTTATCCTTTAAAATCACTGAGCAGCCACAGAGGTACTAGGTTCTAGAAGCCACTCAATATGTTTGACTGGACTAGATCACAGGAACTAGTGGAATCCTGATGTTATTTTCAAATAATACTGGCAATGATGGACATTATTGCATAATAATATTGGAAATTATAACAGACTTAAGGCACTCATTATTCCCTGACTATAGAATGGACTAGAGTTATATAATAGATGTAAGCATTTTTACTCCATTTTTCCAATAACATTAATGAACATAATGAAAAAACTGTACAGTACACTTAATGTTCAAATGTAGCTTCACATCTGTGAGAAAAAATATCCAATCAGCAGTATGAAATATATCACCAGTCTTTGGGGCAGCTATTCTAAAGCTTCTATCTCCATGATTCTTAAACTGTTAAGTGGAAGTACTTTAAAATTCTAAATATTAACAAATAAAAAAAACAAAGTGGATCATAAACCCAAATGTAAAACACAAAACTATAAAAATTCTAGAAAATAACATAGAAAAACATAGAGGTGACCCTTGATTTCATGAGGACTTTTTATATACAGTTAGTTAAAAAATAGTGGATAATAAATAAATAGATAAACCCATGAAGACAGTAAAAAGATCAGTGATTGCTAGGGGATTGATGGGACAAAAGGAGAGGTAAAAAGGTGTTTTCCTCAATTTTTAGGGAATTTTTAGAGCAGTGAAATGATTCCATATAATACTGTAATGGTGGATGCATCATCTACCATAACAAATGGCATTGCACATTTTTCAAAATCCATACAACTATACAACATAAAATGTAAAACCTAATATAAACTATGGATTTATGAATAATGTGTCAATCTTGGTTCATCAGTGGTAACAAATGCACCACGCCAATACAAGCTGTTAAAAGTAGAGGAAACTGTGTAGGGGGAGAAAGGGCATGTAGGCACTCGCTGTCCTTTCTGCTCAATTTTCCAGAAACCTAAAATAACTCTAAAATATAAAGTACATTAATTTAAAAAGATAAAGCTTCCCAGCATGATGGGGGAGTGGATGGCTTAGAATTTTCTCCACTAATTCCTCTCAGAAGCTATTACCCCATGCAGGCTACTGAACTCATCAAACTTACTATGGTAAAACAGGTAAAAATAGTTTCAACTGAGTCTCAGACTTCATTCTTGACAATCTCTGAACCCAGACCATTGTGACAATCTCTGAACCTGGACAATCTCTGAACCTTGACAATTTCCGAATCTGGAGCATTTCTTACACAACTATTGTGTAAGAAAACCCTAATGAATTCAGCAAGAATAATTATAACCACGACATACTAGAAAATGTGCCACCCATTTTGCATTCTTTTATTTAATCTTTATAACAACATGTGACATTCTTTTATTTAATCTTTATAACAACATGTGACATAATTACCTCACAGGAAAAAATAGAGAGACAATATGATTTCCTCAACATAACTGTATTAGTCCATTTTCATGTCACTGATAAAGACATACTTGAGACTAGGTAATTTATATAGAAAAAGAGATTTAATGGACTCACAGTTCCATGTGGCTGGGGAGGCCTCACAATCATGGTGGAAAGTGAAAGACACATCTTACATCGTGGCAGAGAAGAGAGAAAAGGAGAATCAAGCAAAAGGGTTTCCCCTTATAAAACCATCAGATCTCGTGAGACTTATTCACTACCATGAGAACAGTATGGGGGACTGCCCTCATAATTTAATGATCTCCCACCAGGTCCCTTCCACAACACATGGAAATGATGGGAGCTACAATTCAAGATTTGGGTGGGAACACAGCCAAACCATATCAGTAACACACCTGATTATTATGAGAACCAAGTTGCACACTCTGATCTATTGCATACTAATATTTGTGCTCTTTCCATTTGGCAATTTTTTTTTTCAATTCCGTGGGAATTTCCCTGAGTTGCAGCCCCTAGGTTTTGTGTGTGTAATATTTTAGATTGACATAATGCATTTCAGACATTTTTTCCGGCAAAATATTAACATGTAGTCTCCAAAAATTGGCATTCTAATCATGAGGAGCTTGTTTGTTGGTGGTAACACATTTGAATGCCAATACGTCAACTTTCAAATACGCCCCTGCTCCAACCAAAAGTTACCTGCATGTTGTCGTTTTAGGTCAGAAAGAGCAGCGGGTCACAGCTATCATGGGAGCAATATGGTCACAGCTATATGTCAGTCAGGGTTAAAACAAACCAGCATTCTCTGTCTGGAATCCAAAATGGATGGCTCAGAATCTTTCCCACTAATTCCTCCCAGAAGCTATCACCCCATGTGGGAATCCATATTTTCAAGGAAACAGGTGAGTGTAAAGGAATCAAGCAGTAAGATACAGAAAATAAGCAAATAATCAGTAATCAAGAGACCCACCCACAGCATGAGATGACCGATCAGGGAATAAACAGAGACACAGAAAGATAAGACAGAACTCAAACCAGCAGGGAGAAGCACTGGGTAACTGAGCTACTCTGCCTCGTCTCTGGCACTTTCGCCCGTTTCCTAAGAATAGCAGATTTACGGGTTGAAATATATGAATCTCATCAGGCTGGAGTGAACAAGTGGAGAGGAAGATAGCTCCCATAAGATTCTTTTGTTTTCCTGAAAATAAGGGTAATAATATTTTTAAGATTCAACTATGTGCCAAGCATTTTGTCTATCCTATATTATTTCAAATAATGACCAAAGACACCCAGTGAAAAAGACAGCATTATCCTCATTTTACAGAAGAGAAAGGGTGGCTCCAAAAGCTTAAACAACTTTCTGATAGTAAGTTTGAGTCAAGATTCAGACTGAGCACAGTAGCTCACTCCTGTAATTCCAGCACTTTGGGAAGCTGAGGCAGCAGATTGCTTGAGCTCAGAAGTTCAAGACCAGCCTGGGCAACATGGTGAAATCCAATCTCTACCAAAAATACAAAAAATTAGCCAGGCATGGTGGTGCATGCCTGTGGTCCCAGCTACTCGGAAGGCTGAGGCCAGAGGATCACTTCAGCCCAGGAGGCAGAGCAGTGAGCCAAGATCATACCACCACACTACAGCCAGGGCAACAAAGTGAGACCCTGTCAAAAAAAAAAAAGAAGGTTCAGATGCAACTCCTGTTGATTCCAAAATCGATGATATAAGCTGCTATAACATACTGCCTTGCTACCAAATATTGGGTGGTGATAAACTACTACTTTCTTGCATTTTTTTTTTTTATTTTCTTGAGACAGAGTTTTGCTCTTGTTGCCCAGGCTGGAGGGCAGTGGCACAATCTCAGCTCACTGCAACATCGCCTCCTGGGTTCAGAAGATTCTCCTGCCTCAATCTCCCAAGTAGCTGAGATTACAGGCATGCAACACCATGCCTGGCTAATATTTTGTATTTTTAGTAGAGATGGGGTTTCTCCATGTTGGTCAGGCTGGTCTCCAACTCCCAACCTCAGACGATCTGCCCTCCTCGGCCTCCCAAAGTGCTGGGATTACAGGTGTGAACCACCACGCCTGGCCCTCTCTTGCATTTTTTATGAATCTGCTTCATTCATTCTACAGTCTTACTAGTCACAATTAAAATGGGATGGCCCTTTTGGGGGAATGAAGCCTTAAGCTGGTGGAAAGAATGGCAGAGTTGCACCAGGCTGTTCAAGCCTCCACACGATGTAATACAGAGATGCTGCCGGCCTTGCCATCCATTCTGGCAGCATCAGGAACCTAATCTAGTTCCCCTTTTGTGCTATTTAAAGTGCGTACCTTGCCTGGAACTTAGTGCTTAATAGATGCATGATTTTTTTACAGGCATATTATTGGCATTATAGTTACAAGGGGCTCAAAGTCAACATATTTGTGTCCAATTCCTAGTTTCAGTTATTCAGTGTATAATCTTAGTAAAGTTACACAATCTCACTGAGCCTCAGTGTCCTCGTCAGTAATACTGGCCTTCATAACACCTACCTCATATTGTTGAAATAATTCCAATGAGATTACATATTCAAAGCATTCAGTACAGTGCCTGCCACATAGAACGCAATAAACAGTAACCTCTCCTTCTTTCATTTCTTTTCCACATAACCTGTTGTACTTTCTCACTAACAGATGATTACAGTAACTTTAATACTGAAACGTATACTCCTAAGGTTGACATGAACATAACTATCTTATTTTGAGTATTAATTTTAGAATACAGTAGATTATTTTCTCAACGGATGAGAAGTTACTTAAATAGAATAGTAATCTTCTTTGCAAATTAGAATCCCAGTCCCATAAATCTGCTATCTGTTCATCTTTTGAATTCCATCAATCCTCAGTTCTTTAGGCTACGGCTGTTTTATGCAAGTCACAGCAAAACAGGGCTCCGATTTGTCAGTTACACTCCATAGATATAAGGGTACACAGATAAAATCTATTAGGCCAGCAGGGCACCCATTAATGTTCCAGTGGCAGTAATTAAATCCGGATGGAAAAATAACTACAAGTATTTTCTCAAAACTGAACCAGATGTTTTGGCAACTGAACGAAGGCACAGACCTGAAAAGCTCCGCACGCCATGGGCAAGTCTCCTGAGAAGCGAACCTTCTGTGAGCCACCGACTGCACTGCGTCTCAGCCTGCTGCCACGTTAAATAACAGCCGAAAACAAGTCTCTCCTTCTGGGGAACTGCAGTCCATCTGAGCACACAAAAAAACAATTGGAAGAAGCGGAGTTGTATTAAGAACCCCTCTGATGATGAGGCACTATGATTAACACATTTATATTTCCATGTGTGAGACCAGAAGCAATTCACAGTGGTGCTCCAACTTAGTCATGCCTCATATATCATCTTTCTAGGTAGCTTATGGGGGATACATTTTCCTAATTAATGGGCAGTAAAAATATTAATTATTGCCATTTTCATTTAGTGTTCAATTAACAAATGAAAACATAAAATGCATTTCCACAGCTGGTCAAAAATGACCTAGGGGACCCCTAAATAACCAGCATCCTTTTCTTTCTCTCTTTTAGATCATTGCTTTCCTTTTTTTAACCCCTATCTTGCTACTCTTAGGCAGGCACTCTGGCCCATTTCCCCTCTCAGTATATCATTTAAATATCTTGACAAAATGTTTTCCAGCGAGGCAGAGCTCACTCTTGCCCTGGCATGCATGTCTACCATGAAGCTGTCATGATGTCCCGTCATGAAATGAGATGAGAAGAGTTATTTGATCCATGGAGACTTAAATTAATAACGGTGGCACTGGTTTCCATCAGCGGGGTCAGCAGCAATGGGTGAGAGGAACACTGGCGCAGCTGGACTTTAATTCAATGCAGTGAGTCTTGAACTTCAAGGGAGGAATAAGAGGCTTCTCAGCCATCACGTCTGCATAAGACTGTGGAGCACAACAGAGTGACACTGGCTACCGTCTCCTTACACTGGTGAATTTCATTCTGTCAAGTCAATTGCTACCCTGGTACCTCTCTTATTAGTGTTAATTTATCTGCAGTGTTAAGGAGGTTAACGACACTGTTATTTTCTCTGCTACTGAGTTTTCCTGAATGTCTGCGGGATAATATTCACAGTAACCTCATCAGAGGAAGGAGTCACAGAGAGGACCTGCCAGGACAATAAATAACCTTTAAAAAATAATGTGTCCTTCAGAGAGAGGAAACCAAGCAGCATAATGTTAATTGCGCAGACTACAGAGGAAACATTTTTCATCCATCAAGAATGACAGTATAAGGATTACACAATATCATAAAACACAATATCACATAACATCCTATACAAAGGACTGAGGCTATAATTTCAAGCAGTTCTTACTGGTTCAAATTGAAATTCATTAAGGAAAGAGTTGCAGATATTTACAAATTAGCCTTCATAATTATTTTTGTGTCAAACACTGCTTCATAGACCTGAGCTTCCCGTGGTAGAAAACCACAATTAGGAGATACAGTTTCTTGACTCTCTCAGTACCAATAAGCCATATATTCCAAATCAAAGAATCTCCTCATGTGGTGATTAGATGTGTGCCCCTCTTGCCTCCCTGCAATGCTTGGTTTGTATTGGAATTTGCTGACCTGGTAATTGTCAACTTTCTAAAAGTCATGTGTATAAAAGTCCATACTGTCATAAGCACAATTTTAAAAGTTATTGTAAAATCAGCATCTAATATAACTAGAGAGACTATTTGAGGTGTTCTGTGGTTCTCAGTTTGATGATCCTCATGTTGAAAAGACTGTTCTTGAAATTCTTTGGGAAATGATTGTATTTTAAAGTTGCATCTTAGGGTTAGCCTTTCTTTCTCCTTTTAAAAATCCAGACCCCCTAGCATTATATTGAAATCCACCCACGGCAAGAAAAAGAAAAAAATCTGCTGTTCATGAACTTTTGCCAACCAACAAATTCCAAAATACTACTACAGCAAATAATTCCCGACATAAACTGCTGTAAAATGTGAATACAAATTTTAAATGACCCCTTAGCCTCTTAATTTTCTGTCACTTGAGAAACAGCTTTGAATTGGCTGAAGCAAGTGCAAAAGTGTTTTCATGTAATGCTGTGTCTCACTCCGACATGGAATATATGTGCACCTTTGCCCTTGGTAAATTTATGCCATTGCTGAGGTCAAATTCAATTCTTTAAGTTACCTGTTCTCCCTGTACCTCTTCACTCTCTCTTGCCTTGCATTACCCATCCTTTTTTGAGGTCCCTTCCCATTAAAAAACACTCATAATTTGGTCACCTCCTGATTATTATAATAAATAGGAGGAGTTGGGAGAAAATAACAAAGATGAGCCAAAATGTTGATGCTTATAAGTCCACTGGGTTTGCTCTTTTGCGCCACCCTTGAAGAAAATGGTTTAAACATCCACGCGCTTCATCAAATCTATGTTATTTTGTTTCATAGAGCTCTAGAACTACTCCTAAATAATCAATTTGTAAATAGGATTTCTATGAATCCTAGGAGCCACACAAACACAAATACATATATATATATAATTTTTCCCCTGGACTTTTGACAGACAGCTCCTTGAATCATCTATTTCTTTATTATACCCTCTCTGTGGACAATGATTCCCACTGAATATGGTAATTAATAGAAGTTATAACAAAAAAAGAAAGGTTTTTGGCCAGGTGTGGTGGCTCATGCCTGTAATCCTAGCACACTGAGAGGCTAAAGTGGGCAGATCACTTGAGGTCAGGAGTTCAAGACCAGCCTGGCCAACGTGGTGAAACTCCATCTTTACTACAAATACAAAACTTAGCCAGGCATGGTGGCACATGCCTGTAGTCCCAGCTACTCGTGAGGCTGAGGCAGAAGAATTGCTTGAAGCTGGGAAATGGAGGTTGCAATGCGCCGAGATCATCCTGCTGTACTCCAGCCTGGGTGACAGAGTGAGACCCATCTCAAAAAAAAAATGAAAGAAAGGAAGGAAGGGAGAAAGGAAGGAAGGAAGGAAAAAAGGAAGGAAGGAAGGAAAAAAGGAAGGAAGGAAGGAAGGAAGGAAGGAAGGAAGGAAGGAAGGAAGGAAGGAAGGAAGGATAGAAAGAGAGAAAGAAACAGAGAAAAAGAAGAAAGAAAGAAAGGAAGAAAGAGAGAAAGGAAGGAAAGAAAGAAAGAAAGAAAGAAAGAAAGAAAGAAAGAAAGAAAGAAAGAAAAGAAAGGAAGAAAGAAAGAAAAGGAAGGAAGGAAGGAAAAAGGCAGACTTGGGCACCAACATTCATTCAATATCTACCGTGTACTTTAGAGTCATGAACTCTTGCTTACAAACAGAAGAATATAGGAACGTATCCCCATTGTGCACATGAGAATACTAAAACTTAGAGAAGCAGGGCAATTGTAAGGATTGCACAGTTGTCATCACAGGAAAAGGTGACTACAAAGCTTGTGCTCTTTGTGCAGCAGCTCTCTGCCTCTGAATTTTGTGCATCTTGTGTTGACATGCCCATCCTGAAAAACAACCAACACCTCTAGGCTAAATATTAGTCCAGACATCAAGTATATCATCCATTTTGATGCCTGTTATTAACCCTGACAACCTAAAGGTATCTGTTTGTGTTGTGAACCGCTGTGTTTTGAAAAACATCCACATGTCCCTGGTAAAAATTAGAGATATAAAGATTAACTTAGTCATTCCCATTAGTGGTATGGCTTGTACAGTATACTTTTCTCATTGTACTGTCACATAACTATGCTTTTGGCCCCAAGCACAACCACCCACTTGAGTTAATTTAAGCTTTGGTGATTCAGAAGAGTAACTGGTAAACAAGTTGAATGGGGAGCGTAAAGAATCAGGATTGAAAAACAGAAAGCAGGGAAGGAAGGCTAGGGATGAGAATCTGGAAGGAACATCCATACCTATGCCACTGCATAGTCGTGGCACCACTGAATGCAAACTCCACAGTGTCACCACTTCTGCTGAGTTACACCATCTCAGTGCAAATCATGCACTCAACATTCAGAGTCCTGGGGGAGGGCATCAGACTGATGAGTCCTAGGTCAATCATCTTTCCTCCCAGCTGGTCTCCAGGGGACAGGGAGAAGTCAAATACACTCTGTAGTAAGGTGGTGACCTATCTTCCTAATCAAGACTCATATAGTAGAGTGTCACCAAAACAGAAAAGGTTTTCTGTTGCTGTTGCGGTTGATCATAAAATAAAAGGCAAGTGTCCACAACAAGTAGCTTTGAAAGACTCTTTTAAATATTTCTATTCACCATAAATAAGATTTATAAATACTTATTTGATTGAATGAGAACATAGTGAGATGAAAAATGCTTTATTTAATTCCTAAGTCTCTAAGTTTGTTTTTATTTTAAATATGTCGATAACTATTGCAGACATTGGTTATTAATCAGTATTACACCTCACAACCAGAGTGATATAGCAAAGAATCTCATAATTCAGTATAGGCCTCTTTTCATTTTTGCAACTTAAAAACATAGAAAAATACTGCTTTTGGAAAAATTAGTGCTCCGGGAGGAAGCTGTGACCTGGTGGAGATGAAGTCAAGAATCCTGCCATCCAGTCATTGTTCTACACCTACTCTCTCTGGACTCTGTGCTGCCAGAATCTCTGCTCCAAACCCATGTCCCTCATAGGTGATTTGAGGCTAACAATACCCCGCAGGGTATTACTGATGGTGAAATGTGGTAGTGCCTGGCAGGTGGTAAGCACTCAGTAATTATTAAACCTAAATGTTTATCTCTTTACAGGATTGAAACCTGTGGTTATAAACTATTAATCAGCACAGTTTTCTCCCATCACTACTTTATGCTCATAAGGGCAACTCTATATCCTAAGTGCTTTTAAACTGGCAGTTCCAGATAGGGTTGACTTTATTGGGTTCTAAAACTGAAACCACAACTATAAATCACATTCATATCAAACATGTTCCTCTGCTACCTTTATATTATTGAGATTCTCTCTGAACAAACTCATTTTGCCTGGGGACTTCACCAGTTGATGAGCCATCATGATCAGGGTGTCTGCTATGTTAGAAGCATTCGAATAGGCTGATGTCGAAGGTGGGCACAGGAAAAGTGCACTTCCTGCCCTCTTGGGAGCTTGCAATTAAGTTGAGGAGAAAGAGACAGAGACAGACAGGTATACAACCTATGCCAACAAGAAGTTAGCTCTGCATTTGAGTACACTAGCCAACGAGGGCTGTTTGAGCCCAAGGA